TAGTCTTCCCGTTCCAGCCGACGACGGAGATTCCACGAGTAGAGCCCATGATAGATCCATTCTACTCCAAACCCTCTTGGTAATGAATTGGAGGATGGCGATGTGGCACTAGAACGATCGACAAAGGCCGAGTGTTCCCGCGTGAACCTTTGCAGGCCCGTGGCTGATGGTAGAAGAAATCCGTTGCAGTCATAAGCATGTGAAGTTACTCCATTAGAAGAGTTGTCTGAGGAGCGAGTACAAGGCCGCCGTACCCAATTATCCAACGTACTTGTATTTCGTAACTGCGATGACGGCGTTGCAGGATGATGTCGCATGGCTTCGTCCCTGGGCTTCATCAGATCTACGTGATAACCGAGCAGAGCCTTGAGGTTGTGGAGTCGAGGATCTCACATCGCCCTGCAAAAACGCTGAGCCGGAAGCTACTGGTGATTCGACCGTATCTGGTAAGCCGCGTCAGTACCTCTATCAAGACAGAGCCACGCCTGGACTATAGGCCCACAAACTTTCTGCCAGACCATCGTCACTATCCCTCCTTATTGCCTCGCTGTCTGGCGACGTCGTGATGAGTAACTGCTGAACCTTATCAACTAAATCCTGCAGCTCTTCGTCTCGAGCTTCGAGCTGCGGAGAATTGGCTTCGCCCCTGTCAATGACCGCGTCGTAGCTATCTCCTGTATTGTCTTGTCCTTGTGATATAAGCTCGAGTTGTATTTGGGAGTCCTCGAATAACGGATTGTAGTTATCTTCGGGTGCATCATCTAAACTCGACCGTGTGGCCCGTGAATTCTCGTGATGGTTCCAGACAGGTGGATTCCACAACGTTGGTGCCGCTGTTGGGTCCGTGTCCGCCTCACCCGCACAAGTGGGCTCGGCTACTACATCTTGCTCTAAAGGTGTTGGTATGTTAAGATGCGGCTCTAGGTGGAGGCCAATAACGGGGTTCGTAGTCGATGGTAGAGCAGGTGGATGGGGTTGGTAATGATACACAAACTCCGCATTCTGCGATCCAACGGCGACGCGTTGGGAATCAACAGATTGTCCGTGTTGTCGTTGGTAGTATCGTTGCGATCGCGCGCGTTGCGAGGCGAGCCGCTCCTCTTCCGTCTGTGGCACTTTCCTCGGGGGACGGCCTCGGCGTTTTGGAGCGGGTTGGGACATCGTCTTTCATATAACTTGGCCGAAATGGTTGTTCTCGTAGGTCTTCGCGCGTTTTCCGAGTAATCAGTGACGCGACGCAATTGTTGCTTGCCGTCCCCTGCAGCAGCTGCTGTAGCCTGCATGGCAATCAAACCTTATTTTCGTTTCCGACGGTTACAGGTTCCATGATGAGTTACCAGTGTCACAGCGTAAACTGGTCTGCGTAGGTCAAGTGGTAAGAAACGGTTTCTTGCAACATCAATTTGCTCAAAGACCTTATAAGTAAGAAGGGAAAACTGAGAGCAAGGCATCGTTTGTTAGTGGTTATCTGGTTTTCGGTCCGCTGCATATTTGATGATGCTGTTGTAAGGAAAAAGTGTATAGTGCGCATCTCTTGTGACTGATATTACTTGGGTATGATTGTGCATTTATTATTATTATATACCATACTGATATCGTGTGTATTAATATGTCGTGGAGCTGGTATGCTGAATTATCAGACCGTTGCATCAAAGAATCATGGTTGTAAAGCTATCTATTCTAGTGGTTCGCTTTTCGCGCTAAACCTAATTGAATTAAATGTGAGCCAAGACTTCCAGGCCGATTTCGCGCTAAACCCAATTGAATTAAATGTGAGCCAAGACTTCTAGGTGGAGCATCACGACCATCAACATCATTTCCATCATTACATCGTAAAACTCTATAAGTAATTCCAGAAAATAGCTATTAAGTCCAGGAAACCTTTAATGAGCTTTAAATGGTCTACTTGAGGTTATGGGTATAAGATATCATCGTATTCCGAGAAAAGTGTACCCTGAACTCACGAATTTTTTGGCTAACCTTTACCCCCATATCCATGAGTAACCAGCCTCTTCAAGGCATGGGAAATAATGCCTGAAGGCGATGTCAAGAGCTCGCGAAGCTCAGTGTCGTTGAGGACACTCGTCACGAAGAAAGGTCAACTCTCTGAATCGCTTTCTTCTAGCAGCTGTTAGGGTCCCGCCAGTCCCAAAGTTGCTTTTGTTGCCATTTTGGCCTGTAAAAACTTTCTGCCTTAGCAGAACGCTAACAGCGGATGCCAAGGAAAAGTTTTTACAGGAGAGAGTTGTGAAAGCGAAAATAAACATGTTGAGTTCCAATGGTGCAGGGTAGATTGCCTAGTCAAAATATCGCTTGAATCACCCCGCCAACCAAGCCATAAACAAATTACGCGCACGAAATAATAGCGGGGCATTCTTTTACTGTCAGAATTACTGCTTTGTTTATTGTTAACTTGTCATCCGCATCAACATCAATGTCGGCGTAGCAAAAGTAATTGCATTCCACGCATTGTGATAGCACTCATGGAATTCAACTTACTCATCCATCATGTTGTGCATTGGCTTGATCATCTCCCTTTTGAACAACCCACGCCAGACATTTCGAAAGCCAGCCAAGCTTGCGCCCTCAAACGACGACGATCTCTTAAACTCAGCGAGCCCCGAAAACGTCGTTATCCCGTATCACCTCCAAGGTCAAGAAACGAGAACTCTCAAGATCCAACGTCATCAGAGATGCTACCGTCGACACCCGGAAAGAAACGGGCTCATGGCGACGACACAAATCTCGACAATGAACAAACCCCTCGAGCTGAAACCATAAGCACAAGCAGGCATCCATTGGATAATCCTCCAGATCTTGGCTTGAGAAGCAATGCTTCGAGTTTTGCTTCGCGAAGTGATGCCTCCGTGTCACGCGACAGCAAACGCTCAAAACGGTCACAGTCACCGACCAAACTATTTCCTATGTACGGGCCAGAGGGCCAAAGATTAATTAGAGACGCACTCAGCACCACAGCACCGCGACAGGCCTTGCCTTCGTCCCTTTCTGAATTAATCCAAGATATCAATGATATATCCAGAGGCTTCAGCATTATTCCGCAAAGCATGAAGGCTGCTCTAGATCAGCATCTCAAGAACACCGCGCCACTTGATCGACTGCACGGCTTTATGTTCTTTGAAGATACCAATAGTATCAAGGACCTTGATGAATCACTTGACTGGGCGTCAGCTAGGGAAGTCCTTCGTCGTGCTTTGCGCATCGCTGATCGGTCTGGCCAATGCTCCCAGATGCTTAGCGACGAGTCGGCGTGGAACAACATGGTGCATACTCCTCTGCTCGAACTGTTTGCTCGCGATATGTACAGCTGTACAAATCAAGAACTTCTTGACTTCATATCTTGGTATGTTTAAGCTGGGACTTCATCCATACCTCATCCACCACTGACCTTGGAACCCTGCAGCACGACGACAAACGTCGACTCAGCATATCATAGATTCCCCGACACAGCAAGCCGGGTTGACTACGTCCTACGTTTCATACCAGAACGTGATCCTACCTTCCATGCCCCATCTGACGTTATGGCGCCCTGCTTCAATTGGACGTCCGACAGACTGCTGCAACAGTACCCACTCGCCTTTAGCATCGAAACTAAGCGTTACGGTGGTAACACGGCAAAAGGGGAGCAGCAGATGGGGATTTGGCATGCCGCTCAGTGGGAGTTTTTAATATCCAGGACTGGCTCAGTGGCCACAAATAAGCTCGAATTCTTACCAGGCGTTGTGGTACAGGGTCATATTTGGTCGCTTGTTATCACGACGAGGTCCCAAGCTATAACGGTATGTGGAGATGATTACGTTCAAACGAATATGGTGCTAATTTGTTGGGACAGACTGTTCTTTGCAGCGTTGAGTTTGGAAATACCAGCTCTGTTATTGGCGTGCTCCAAGTCATCGCTGGTCTGCGACGTCTGCGAAAATGGTCTCTTGAAATCTTATGGCCGTGGTATAAAGAGAATCTACCTGGACTTTGTCAGCTCTGACTATTTCACACTCAGTTTGACCCTCCCTGACCTTAGGCTAGCCCGGAAACAACCAGGTCGGATCCGTGTAACGACAGAAGACGAGGTCAAATGATTCGCTGAGCTTGTAGAGCTAGGCGCCGCTTGACTTCCCACGGTCGACTCAAATCTATCCGAGCTGGACGAGCTGGACGAGCTGGCCACTGCAATCGTGAATCTCCTTACACCGGCGCCGCGGCTGCCTTCCGGGCCATCAAAAGACCCTCTCCTACCTAAGAATGAAGACAAAATCTCTAAGTCTTATCAGCTCCGCCAATGGGTATTGTGAGCCTAGAACCATGTACTTGGCTCGGAATTCATTGAAGCACTCGAATTGCCCAGCGTCCGGCCGTTGTGGGAGATAGAGAAGAATAAGGCGGGAAATATAGGGGCTTTGCGAGATTAAGATATTAATTGGCAAAACATACATATTTTTAGTTTTTAGAGCTCTATGGGCGGTGGCCTACTGGGCGTAATAGATCTATCTGTTTGTCTGACTACTAAGTAGGGTCACTATAATTAAGGTTGGCTCATTGTAAAATCGGCCTATGATGATTGGTTATTTCTCTGTGCGCAATGTACTCAGGATGGGTGGCACGGATCACCACGCCTTGAAACGGGCCCAGTTCCGCGATTTTGTAAACGTGACCCGAATAGGAACGGGGCCTGTTACAAGTTTTCGAAATCCATGTCGAATTCCGTAGGTTTAATTGGTCTAAAAGTCGTAATGGACCCCATTACTAGCTAGAATACTAGTGTAGGGGCTCTGAGAATAGGGAGAAATAGATAAGTATCTTCAATAGATGCAAAATGACGAAGAAACCGATGGCTGGACGCCTGATCCGGATGGCAGTTACTAAACATCAATGGCACACTTTATCAAAATAACATTGCATACGTAGACTAACAACAAAACATAGGCTCCTAGATCACTGGATAATAACCATGAATTCCTTGGGCCCTCCGCATTCGCGTATTGGCATTGGGAAAACCCAGCGGGAAAACCAATGTCGAGGGCTAACGATAGTAGCTCATTCACTAATAACTCTGGTATCAACATTATGCATTTCCCGGGGGAATCGGCAACTGGGCGAAGAACAGTTCTCCCATGCGCAGCGATGCCCATTAAGGCAATCTGGATTACTGCACACCAACCCAGTCGGGCAGGGAGACAGTCGAGCAATAGCCCGCATGGCCGCCTTTTGTGCTTGGCTGAGTATTCTGTCGTGATCATGCTGGCAATTTCCATGCATCTTTTGATAGGGGCATGTCCCGAGTAGATGGAAATAGTTGCAAAGCTTGCGGCTCTTCAGATCATTGAAATCTTGACTCGAATAAGTGAGTTGTGAGTCCACCCGTTGACCCTGGCTGTTTCGCAAGATCCCTACAGACACCAACCCTCTGGGTAATACTGAAACATGGTGTGCTGGAGGGACTGGTGCTGGTGTAGACGGGGCTCTGGAAGCAGCGTTTGCGTAGTTGGCCGAAGGAGAGGTTGGAGGCGTAGTACGAAACGAAACCCTACGCTTAATATTGGGCAATTTCTGGCTTCGGAAGACTGTGTCGAAGAGAGCCGTGTGGAACTTATCCTTAAAATCAGCTAGTTCCTGAGCCCAAGGTGGCCCTTCGATCAGGCATATGCGCCTACGGACTACCTCATCTTGGAGGTACTTTCCGAGAAGACGGGCATATACGCTATCTGCCGAAGCGCCGAAAAAGATCTTCCGACAGTGAACGTCGGCCAGGTGATATTGGAAAGATGCTGTATACTAGATTAGGGACCAAAACGAACCTATTCAAAATCGAATAACACAAGCTCACCTTTCACCTTTTCGTCTGCACATTCTTTTCCATTGCCAGCATCCACGTAATCACACAAGGTGTCGCCCATATTAAAGCCACTCACAAAGGCTTCTAGGGAATCTGGAGCTGGCAAGATGCTTGTATCTTTGTACGTCTTGGCCAATCCTTTCAGATTAGCATATACACGAACAATCACTTGAAGATGATGAGGCATACTAGGGTCGAAGGACTTAAGTTCCCCTTCGACAGCCTACTTCAAAATGCTGGCCGTTCTCTCACCCCCCTCCAGACCGTCTCGAACGAGGTCATCTCTAAACTATATCCATTAAGCCATAAAATCCTGAAATATTCAAGTTAGACCTACCGGCATACAGTCACCATCAATAATAACCAAAACAAACGTGTGGCGATCCCGTTACAGCACAGTTAGCCTACAAATTCGAAACACTTATAGAAGACGATACGGTCGACCTTTTCCAGCTGTAACTCACGAAGTTGTTCCTCAAGCTCTTCAACACGCTCACGAGTCAATTTAATTGCATCTTTCTTATCGCGAAGTTCTGCGTTGGCATCCAACAGAAGGTCAGATTGCGAATCAACGTGGTTGAACAAACTCTAGAGTACAGAAGTGAGCAGAGCAAGCAGGGCGAGGCTTTCCTAAAACATACCGTAATTAGTGAGCCAGACGACTTACCTAAAGGAAGGGTTACACAGCATACGGTTGCCGAATGGTCGAGGGACACGTTGTGATCAATGGGCCACCGCTGAGCTTGGCAAATCGAATATTAGAAGGCTTCTGCCTTGATCTAATGCGTATTTAGGTAGAAGCAGCTACATAGTGGAATCGGATCGTATCATTTGATCACAAATGTCATGCAATATAAGTGGAGGCTACCTGTGGCCATATGGGCCCTTAGAAGGCATTCGTGCTATTACCAACCCAATATCAATCTGCCTCTCCAGATGACATGCTCAGGAACTGAGCGTGATCGGGGCCAGTATTGACGAATGACAGTGCGACAGACGACATGCAGTAGGGCACACTTTCCTTTCGGACCACTTGCGGGTGAGCATATGACCACGAAAACTCAGGCCGGAGAGCTACAAGCTAGGGATGGGTGGTCAGACGTAGGCTTGCCTACCGTAAAGCAAAATTAAATATCTGTGCGCAGAGTTGCCACGGTTAGCTGCATTGCAATATGTCCCTCTGTCATTCGCCAATGCTGATGCCGTGTCACACTCAGTTTCTGTGGAGCGCTGCCCTCAAATCAAACAAATCAAATCCGGGGTCATATTTGAGATATTTGATAGCCCGTGATGCTGGATTTATTTTTGAAATATTTATTTAAATATTTCAAGTATTTCAAATCTGACCATTTGTGCTCTTAGCTCATCTCTCCTAGCCACTATTAGGCCCAACTTCACCGCACCCCTGGCCCAGTCATCGAGGCATTGTAGCTGTCAGCGTCGTCAACTTGAACCGAGTTGCCAATTTCGTCACTAAGCGGAGAAGTGCAAAGGCGACGGGTGGGGGGAGAAGTAAACAGGCTGCCAACGACGGTGAAGAGGGGAAATATTAGGAAGCTATTCTCCATTATTCTATAATAAAAGCTGACTTAAAGCTAATCAGCAAAAACGTACGATAGTTCATTCTTTTGTATTTATCGTCATTTACGATAATACTGAGATTCAAAGTGAAAAATGCAATAGCGGCAAATAGTCCCCTCTGGATAACATTTGGATAACAAAGGATAATCATAAGATGAAGTAGCAAGAAAGCAGAAGGTCCAACGAGTCTGGCATACCTAGGCGTTCAGCTATGCTATTAACCGAGATTCTGGTAAAACAAAAGAAGTAAATGCAGCAGAACGCCTCAAACCGCCTACCGGGTCATATTCAGTAACAAAACAAGTGTAATCATCAGTGGCTTCGTTTATCCAATGAGATCTATTTTTCCAGGCCACCCTCATGTAGGACCTTGCATTTTCAACCCCAGCCTGCATGGCCAGCATTTTTCACCGTCCAATCAGCCAGTTGGTGGGAGGCCTCAATTCTTAAAATGGCCGCAAGTTTGGGTTCTCTTTTGCCTTATGATAAGTGACAAAACGACGCAATCGAGACCATGTAAGTTCCCAAGCTTATTACCCGCAATCAAGACCAAAATGGGACCATCAAATGATAAAAGTCTTGCCAAGTCCACTGCTTTGCACGCCATAGACTGGCTAGATGAACATGACGACACGGATGGCTACCATTTCAAAATCTGTGAGCCTCGCATTAATGACGACAGCGAATATCAGCATGACTTGGCGTTCTATCTACGTAACATTTCACACCTGGTAGCTCTAGACGAATTCAGGCTAACGACTGAGGATAGCACACGCATCGTAAAGGTATATAAGGTCCCCAAATAGCAGTTACATTAGTCAATGGCTTAACATAGCTTAATAGGTACGACTTCGACTTTCCGCAGTTGCGGTTCAACAAAACATGACTTTGGAGGCTGCTATCCGAACCCTCTGCAAGTCCATGATGACTGCCGGGCCAGAAGGTGGACAAATCTTTGTCAAAAGTCTGACGCGAAGATCCATCTGGGGCATCATACCAATTTCTGAAGTCTTTCGAGCTTACTGGACAGCTTCCTTCTTTAACAAGATTCTTACAGAAGACCCCGCGAATTTTCGAGTTTGGCGGAGGACATCATAACAGAAAGCCGGCCCTATCTGTGCCCTACGTGAGTCTTGCTACATTATTCATGCCCTTCAGAGTTCGTTTATTCTGTATTACCTGTTCTTGAACTGACATAGACTCTGGAGATTTATGGTTTTCGCATTTACGGCCTTAGCCGGACTACATGATTGCTTCCACCTTATGCAACATTTTTATGATATTGACCTGGAAGAGACATTTAATCTTCAAGATTTTATTAAGGAAGTCCTCCCGACCGTTAGGATTGTACTCACGTTCTTCTCTGTATGAAACACCTGTCAGCTGATGTAGATCATTAATCACTAACTTCCTCAAGCAAAGGACGTCAGCAGGTGAGTCTTTGGATGAGGAGAGGGCAAAGTTCAACTATTGCATCCAGCACTTCACCCGGAGCTACGATGGGGTCCTAGACCGCTTTGGAAGAGTTCAATGTTGGTAATTTCATGCATTAGAATGAACTTCCGCTGACTAGCTTGTTTAACCTAATAGCACCTACAGGGCATATGTCGCTTCGAGATATAGGCTGGATGTACTTGGTGTGCAATAGCCTTTGCAAAATGTCAAATGCGGCTTCAAGTGTCCTAGTTCTGAGAAGAGACCTTCTTAATGAACTCATGGGTGCCTCAACCCAAACGCAGAACGATGCGATCAAAGGCGGTGTAGTCGCCCTGGGGTCCCTCTGGGTTAGCGCTTCTAAATTTTCTGCCATTGTGGCTGCTGGCTCCGTTACTGCTGCTGCTACTGCTGCTGGCGTTTCGACTGCCGTCGCCCTTGCTGTGCCTATTATAGCATGTGGTGTTGTATTCAGGAGTGCGATATGGGCTTGTGATAGTCAGGGAAAGAACAGAGAGCTTACTTCTCAGAGCAACAAGTTCCAAGCAGGTATGAGATCGCTTTCTTTATGATTAGACCTCGCAGTTATTAACTGAGTGGGATTGCAACAGTCTTCAATATTACCACTGTAACCTGGACGAGCATCTACCATATGCGCCTTGCCTTGGAATGGTTCCGTCTTCATGAAGGGGAAGATCCTTCGGCTCTCCAATTCCCTAACCCAGCGGTTCAAGGGGTGTGGCAAACATTTATAGACAGCTATAATACCGTCACTCGTGGTAACAATGTGGGCAGTTTCGGTGTAGAGCGATTGCTTTCTATCTGGATAAATGAGCAAGTGCGCTTGTTGAGAGAACATAGGCAAGCACTCACCACTACATTAGCATCCTCATATGGTTGGGCAGATCATACCGAATTCAGTTAACTTATACATCTCATCTCTACGAGCCGAATGTCTTGAACAGACAGAGCCATCTGGAAGTTTGCTATTTGTTGCGAGACTATCGTATCGCAGCGCGTTATAACTGACGCAACGTAGCGGACTGAGATTGTGGGCAGTGTCAAGTAAGCTTACAAAAAATCTATCTAACTGATCGCCTCGCAAACTGACTCTTCGCCCTTAAGTTTTCACCATAGAACCACAACATAACAGGCGCTGGCCATCCAATAACAACCGCCAGTCCAGCGAGCAACGTTCCTCCCTATCTATACCCCAAAGTATCATACATATCTGCCGCAAACAACAGAAATCCAAAACCCGCCAAACTTCTCGCCACCGTCGCAGCCGCCACTGCTGAAGCCGCGTATCACGCGTACGAATCAACCAAGTACCCCTGTATGCACTGATACCCCATGGCAAGTCCTGTGGTGTAGATGAACGCACCAACGTTGGGCCCCATCCAATGCGTCCTCTTCTCTGCAGTCCAGGAGTATATCAGCAAGCCTATAGGCACTAGGATCGCGCCGGGTACCATCATTGGGACACGGAACTCGGGGCGCCCTGGTAGGCCTTCCTTGCAGCGCCGAAGCTTCAGGGCTTTGTAGATGCGATCTTGCGAGCGAGCGCAGATGTGTGTGCCGAGAAAGAGCCCTAGGGCGAGGGAGATGTAGTTCAGCCCTTGATAGCCGGGGGTTTCGTGGTAAACCTTTGCGAATAGACCCGAGAAGGTACTTAAGAAGACGTACATGGTCCCGTAGAGATAGGTTATATAGGCAACAAGGAACATGACGATAGACTAGGTAAAGAGAAGGCGAAATAGACAAGTTAAGGCGATCCTAAGTGTCCTTATGAATGTCCTGTCTGGCTGGCTACATACGGTGTATAGCTCCGTGTTGCCTGTCTCTTTAATCCAATGCTGTTTCCTCCTCTCAAGTATCACTGGCGCATATGTTTCTTTCAGAAATAGCAGAGCAGCGACTTAAACAAAGCCGCATGCAATGGTCGTGGAGTAGAATACCTAACGCCAGGTCGTCCTCTCTGCCACCCACCCTCCAGCTATAGGTCCAAGAGCTGGTCCAAGCAGAGGAGCCACAGAGTACACAGAGATAGCCCTTCCTCGCTCCTCCGGTTAAAACATATCAGAGATGACTCTGCCCCCAACAGCCAATGGAGCAGAACCCCCGAGGCCTGCCAAAAAGCGGAAGGCGATCATGCTGCTCTTGTTATGAGATAAGGCACAGCCAAGGTTAAAGCAAAGGAACCATAGATTAGAGGTTTATAGGATAATAACCCGGCCTCGAAGCTCGGACATTAGGCCCTAGAAGAGTGGACCGACAGCGTAGGCGGCTACGAAGATAGAGAGGGTGAGAGCGAGTTCGGGAAATGTGGTTATATGAAGAGATTCGCCGATAGAGGGGAGTGCCGGCGCGATCATGGTGGATGTGAGAGGCGAGATGAATGTGAATAAGGAGGCTAAAAGATGTTACTTATACTGCATGAAGTTTAAGGTACTGGTTAGTGCTTGGCGGAAAGACCTCCTCAAGGGGCTTCAAATTCTCAAAGGCAGCAGAACCGAGTTTGTGCTTCCTCATCGGCGACGTGCTGGGGCTAACAAAACTGTCAATAGAGGCATGTATGCTAACATTTCTAGCATACAGCAATCCGATACTCAGAAAGAAAGGCAAAAGGGTATATAGGGTTAGAGGGACCTAGCTCCCGCACAGATATGAGCGCCATGGCCTGATGAATCAGTTCTAAAAGGACTTAATAATAATTATTGGCTATATTTCGATTTCACACTTATAGCGACAGGTGCTAATAAACTGGAGCCAGTACTTGACGTGCTCCTCTTAAAGTGTTGCCTTGCCTAAACGTGTACTCAAGCACCCAACAGATATCCAAGTCAAGCTGACTTGGCTGCAATGTGACAGTAGCATCAGTGTACGTCGCGAGGCCTGTCATATTGATAAAGCTGAGACGGTAGCAAGAGGATCGGATATCCTCTATGAAGTCACATTTAGCCACGAACAGAGACAGAGCTTGATCGCTATTCCCTTCCTATTGACATAACTGAAATGCTAGGAGTACTGATCAGAGTTGCATAACGGAAATGGTTCAGAGTGAGTAGTGGAGTTCTTCATGGGATTGGCCACAATAGCAATCCACTTGCAGGGTTGTAACGGAACGTACCGTGCAATGGTTGAGTCTTGGGTAAAACCTCCGAAAAAGGGAAAGAAAGTAGAAAGACATGCGGAATACGGATCTAAGATGTCTGAAAGCAATGAAAAGGATTAAATTACATTTTCATTTATTGCATACGAAATTTGTCAGGGGTGGATTTATCGCGGAGTTGTAGACTTTCAAGCGGCCATTTAAATGCTAGTAACATCCAGGCCTCGCGCGTCCTATATAAGAAGGCCGAGATTGTGCAAGCCGTCAAGGCGTTACGGCGCTACTCTATTCATCGAAATCACCCTGCCCCAGAGATCACATGGACTGACCTTGGCAGTTGACGACTGATTGTAGCTCCATTAATTACCTGGGATCTATATCAATATTACGAGTAGCAGTAAATCACATCAGCTATGAATTGTGTACAGTCTGACGAAACAAGACATCTTCCCATTGGCTAAAATAGCCATAGCGACTCAAGGCCACGACAAACCAGGATCTTAGTTCATCGCACAGCTGTGTCTGCTCTTCAAGTGACTCCACATTGCTTCATCGGAATCGAAACTGCGATGATCTTTCAGCTCTGTGCGGCAATCAAAGCAGTACCAGTAGTGCCCATGTGCATCCATTTGTCCGAGGCGCCCAGGACGCCTGATAAAGCCGACATGTTTAGCCCTGAGATGTTCAATCGCTTGCCCCATATCAGCAATTTCTTTGCCATGCTCGTAGCATGTTAATATAGGCCGCTTGCTGGACATCGTCAGTATCTATGACTCTATAGTTATGCTCTCATATGCAGTGCATACTTTCTCATAGCAAAGGAACCTTTGTTTACGTGGGCTGCCGTAGTCAATAATTTGATCAGATGCGATGGCTAGATTTCAATGTAAGCTTAGGGACCCGAGTAACAATGCTAATGACATGATCTCTGAAAAGACATCAATGACATTTGCGAGCGGGACTTTGGTCTTTGAACTATTGCACATCATAGAACCATAGCTCAAACTATAAATTGCTTAGCCTCATTCGGCCACAACATCCAGTCTATCTCGAGGCCTACCAGATCGAATATCGATTAATAAACACGAAAGTATTCAATGCCTCCTTGGACATCGAAGGTCGCTTATTGGTTGCTCAGATTTCAATGACGTTTGTTGCGACAGGTGGTGCGTCTCATTTAGGTCATGATGACGTGATTCTCACCATGGAACCGAAATTTTGAACATTGCATTGCGTTTCATAGCGTCGAGCTGCCACTCAAAGTACACTGTTAGAACGCCAAGAATGCAATTGGTGGCATGATATCGGCATCGCGGGACTCGTAGGTGCGTGGGGAACCCGGTATGGTGATGCCTTACGTCTTGCACAATCCAATGACCAAGCTAACACGGGCTCGATTTAGTGTGATCCTCCAGAATGTCGATGACCAATCCACTCTCGGCCAATTACCACTTGCCCACGGTGTCTCTTTCGACTCTAGGCAGGAGAACGGCCCGACATGCTTGCCTGATACGCTTCAGAACTTACCTAGAAAACGTCTCGTTCTTGGAATTTTCATCCGCCCTGGTGCGATCATGGTTCAGAAAACCTTTCAATATGCATAGCAAGCGTTGCCTCACGCAGACGCCTCAGTTCAGCAGCAAGGTGAGCAAGACGCCGTTGTTGGTCCTTGGCAATAGATTAAAGCCTTTTCTTCGTCTCGGGCAATGGAACACGAAATCCTGAGGTATCAATGATTCTACGCAGTTTCCAAAGATGACCCTTTGTCTAAATGCCAATTGGCGTGATTTCAAAGCCAACAAAGCGACATCCTTTATTGAAAGTGAGATGGCGCTGGCTCTCGGGAGCACAAAACCTTTTGAATGCTTGCTCTTCCAAGACCTGGGAAAAGGTTTTTTCCAAGCATGGAGGAGCGATCCTCTCGGGGCTCACTAAGAAGAATCTCTCCATTAAGGATGCATATCGCTAGTATCGATATACTGAGGCTTTTGGGCTCTTTCGTGTGCTTATGATCCATTCGAATTTCGTATTGGCAACAATTAGCGATGACTGCCAACTTACCCCAAGCGTCGCGTGGTCTTCTTCCTTGGATGTCAGCAATGAACTTTGGAGTCATAGGCATTGTTCTGTCTAATGAGAGTGTATATTTCACTGCCACTCCCAGGATATGTTTCGTATGAGGTGATACGGCGCCCCGTTGTGTTGATTCGTCCTGGACCGCACGGCAAAATTCGGTACTTGCTTTGCTGAAGCAAAGGGACTTGATCAGAGTTAATTAGGAACATTTGAGAAAATCCTATAGTCCTGTTTCTTTGCTTCTAAGAATTGAGGATGTCGGATGAGAGTCTTCCTGGAATGTCCAGGCCCTCGTCCACCAACGCTCTTTCGTGATCCTACTCAGCAAACTCAAGGCTTGCAAAACCTTGTCACCGTTGATTTGTTTCAGTTCAGACAAGCTTTCCGGTAAGGATTCTATACAATAGATCAAGTTCATACTCCCACTCGATTGGTATTCCGAGCAAAGCCACTGGGTGCTCACTTAGACTGTAGGTCAGATACATAGTCTCAATTGCGCACTGTTTCTCCTTGCATCTGTTATGGATACATATACTCTTTGCCTTGCAGGCCCTTTACTTGACACAATGTCTGTTGATTCAAAGCCTGCGAATTGACCCCTTGTTCTCATGAACAAAAATACACGGCCAAAACGCAGTCTTGAACCGGTGATGACAAGAATCGGGGTTGTTGGTCTCTAGTTTGAACCATGTATTTGCCCTTCTCTGGTTTTTCCTGGTCAGAGTTGTCCCAACTGTGAGACTCGCTTGTCAGCCATTGGGCGAGAAGTAACGCTGGTTGTAAGATGTCGCCGCGCTTGCTCACGCCAGCGGTAACTGCGAAGATCTTGGCCAATATTTGCTAACGAGTTAATGGTGATAGTGAGCTGCCAGTTGCAAATGGCAGTCATTTTGAGCACGTGAATTTTAATAGACAACGGTCATGTATGTTGTTGTTTAGGTCTGTAGTCAAGCTGTTGTACTTGTCAGGTGGGCCTAGAAATTAAATTCTACTCCCCTGTGAAATTCAATTCTACCCTGGGTTGTTTGGCATAAAACAGATGAATTCTACGTAGAATTGACTTTGGTATTGCGCACTAGGCTGTCGACGCAAACAATAATTGCCAGGGTTGCGGCCGACTCCCGGTATCTTTCATTTACTTGTTTCAGTACATAACGACCGTGGGGGACTTAAAGACCAGGCGATGATCAATCTTTCACTCTGCATGGCAGGCGGAGTATTTGAACGCCGCCTCTTACCAGGTCTTTCGTTCTCAGACTGAGGCGAAAGGAATACAGACGGCGAGCGGACTTATAGTTGTTATTTCCTGCCGTGACGAAAAGGGTGGAGGAGCTCGAGGTGGAATATGTAGGTTGTGAAGTGCAAAGCGGGCCCTATATTCAAGTGAAACGCCTAAAATTGGAAAGTGGGCAAGTGTTTGAGATGGATCGGCAGATGAATTGGAAGAAATTAGAAGAATATGCTACTTTGATATCTTGTAGAAAGTACAGAAATACCTGTAAGAATTCACGAAGCTTCATGCTACCCATTGATGGCGGAAGCACAACTATGATGTACAATCCCCATCATCTGATATACCCAGAGTGTTTCTCTTGTGCCATGGCCAGAAGACACCATCAACCCAACGACATAGTTGCTGAAGTCCCAAGACAGTCTTATAAACACCTATCGCATCATCTGTCGAACCAAACTGGAAGGGAAGCCACAAGACCGCCTTCTGCCCCACTCTTTTCGTGGCAGCAAAACTCTACTGATATCCCTGGGCGATGATAGCAGGTAGAAACGGTAGTCCATCCATAGAACCAGCATTGCGTGAAACCAGGTCTTCCTGAAACCGCCACTGCGCTGAGTGCCATGTCCCTATCTGCAACTCAGCAGACCCTGCTGGCGTATTGCTGTGCCCAAATTGACATGAGATGATCACAAGTTGACAGAGTTGATAGTCGGTGAAGTAAAGCAATAGTGATTTGCGTTCCGTCCAGTGAAAGATGCGCCCAACTACGCCATCGGTTTGACCTTGTTGTTGCAAAATGTATCTAAGAAAAGACACTGTCTCAGGCCAGCACCAGATATTCGTTGTCAGTGAAAAAGAGCACCAGTTTCGTGGCATGTCTTGTCTTTTGCTCTCCCATCCTCGCTAAACATGTTATGCGTACCCTGGTACTATGATCCTAAAATAACTCTACTAGAGTTGATTTTATTGGCCCACTTTAAGCCTCGTAGGGTTGATTATGGCCAGGGTGTAGAGTTGATTTGACTTGATCCTATATACAGAAAGGAGAGTGCTGATCAGAACAGAGGTTTGCTAGGAGTTTACCGCAGAACGCGACGCGTTCTCTTGCGTGTAGTGCTTTTGGGGTATAGCATAGCGTGGTCCATAAATATTTGTCGCATCCAATTATGTTATGTTAATTAGTCCTTAAGTGTTAAAGTCGTCAAGAAGTGCACTATAATTCTTCCATTTTGGTGATCTCTAGCTGTCTCAACCTTTTGTGCCTGTCTCACGGTTTTGTGCCCAGCTAAGCTTGCTTAGTTGTCCTCCAACGGGTGGAGGACCATCCTCGTATTTCAAATACCGAGGCCCACTAGTGTCGCCGAGCTTCCTCCGTACTAGCAAGAACGAGTCACACCACGTGACTTTCAGTATCTCACCCTCATCCCCGCCCTCCAAGCCTTATCTCCAACCTGCCTTGGGAGCGTCTCATTATCAAAACAAACCATGAGCCTCAGTCGAGACTTCCAGTTTGACCCCTTCCCAGAGGAGGGCCAAAATTTAGACAGTCAAGATGCTTCTCTGCCTGATGTTGGCTGGTCCAATACCGTTAAATTCCTTACCGCCATGGGAGGTCCAATGCCCGACCTTCCTTCTCCGGCCAAGGTTCGACGACAGGCTGGAGAATACTCGACCAAGATCTATGCAAGTCACCATCTCCTAAAGCAAATTCTGGAGAGGCATGAGTCCAAGATTCAGAAAAGGTGGACCAAGAAGACTCGGCAGCAGAGACTTCAAATTCTCCTCAAAGCGTGGCCGGCAATGCCTGCCTCTCATCGTCCTGATTTCGAGGCCTTTCGCAGAGAATCAAAGCAAGTACGAGAGAGAGGCTCAAAATATAAGGACCACTACATGTGGCCCTACGTCAACCAGGAGGACTTATCACATCCTAAGCTTATGCTCTTGCTGCTGAATGCTAGAGGCCGTCATCCACCTCCGGCCTTTGCGGCGGCTGATAACGACGCAATGCATCTAGGCAAAGTGACAAAGGCACTAGTTCCTATCTTCCTTAACCTTCACACGATGGTATTGCATGGTGCCACCACGCCTGAGGAATATGGAAAGCTTCTTGATTGGGATTCGCACCCGGATGCCTTTGACTGGATGCACACACGCAAACAATTTCTCCCTGGGGAGGGCCTTCTTATTCTCGAGGCACAGGCTCGCTTGATGCCCTTCCTCGTTAACTTTTGTCACGAAGTCCTCCACGACATCTCCGCCGACGACATCGCCAATAGCGCGTATGGCATCCAGCCTGAGCCATTTCTGAAGACGGACAGCGACGCTTCCGGCTTCGTATCATTGACAACAATGGCGGCGGAAGCGCCTTACAGGCTACCGGTAAGACTTGATCTCGAACGACTCACGTCTCTTCTCCAAGCCCAGATTTCAGCAGCAGAAGATCACGTGTGGGCACTTCGTGAGGATCTTGCCTATTTTGCTGACCATTTCTGCGAGATCAAAGATCACCGACAAGAAATGTTGCCTGATACCAGGGGACTTCCACATCCTGCAACCCACAGGCTGCGGGAGAATAGTCTATGGGCCCGGGTAACCTTTGGTATGCTTTCAGATGCTTATGCGAATCTGGAGTCCCTCACTGAGCTTCATCGGCAAGTCAAAAACCTGAGCATGCTACAGCAGAAGCTTCACAAGGAAATACTACCCAACAAGGACTTACCGAAGGAGTACTTTGTTCCACTACTCCGCTTCAAGTACTTCTTGGAGCAAACGGCAAAGGGGCCCTTGAACAAGCTTAAAGTAGCTGTTCCAGCATCTCCACCAATGCGGAAATTCTTCGTCCGTGAGCCGCCTGTTGATTCTGACTCGACAAAGATATTCGTAAGGAGGCGCCCGGGATTCAAAATGGAAAAAGTAGAACAGCAATTGATTTGGTTGTTACGAACACTGTGGGAAGATGATTATACCCTCTTTCTCGTTCGCGTGCCTAACGTCGTCGATGAGTTAGAGCGACTGCTACAGGCGGAGCCTAAGGCGGACGCCCGCATATCGGCCCACGTAGCCAAGATAATCGGTGACCTAGCCATTGTCACACAGAGTCTCAAGCAACTCGAGCTCTATCAGCCATGGGCTCAACAGTTCGAGATGGCTTCGGCTGATCACGTGGAAGATTTCAAAGAGCAGTACACCGCGTTACAGAAACCCGTGGCACAGCTTCACGCTGGATTCTTACAGAAGGGCCTGGATAACGCCGCTAGACTCGCGGAGCCTTCAGGTGGCAAATTTACTTACCCATATAGCAAACGTCGGACAAAAGAGACGGTAGACGCTTTGCGACAGGCCGAGTCGAATTTGGATATGTTCTGGGCCAAGGTTGACGACGTAACAAAAGCTAGAGTCACAAATTTTGAAGATACAGCTCTTTTTCGCCTTCTTTCTCAACCGCGCATCTTGAGAAGGACCGCAGAATGGGTTGAACCTACAAAAGCAAAAGAAAAAACTGAGCCTGCCCTGGACCAAGATCTTTGGGCCCTTAACCGTCCACTTTCAAATCTGTTCCTGGACCAACCTGCACAAATGCCTCAGAGATTCAATGCCCATGACTTTCAGTCCAAGGTCAAGACCAAGGGTGACCCTTCTAGAATGCCCAACAACAACGATAACGTGGAACCATCTGATGCCACAAAACCCGAGATTCTCGACGCTCAGCCAATATTCTTCGTCGACGCTCGAGCATTGAAGGTGTTTCGCACTTTGTTCTTCAACCCCGAGGTAACATCGACGCCTGGCTCCATTCCATGGGGCGACTTCCTCCATGCAATGGCCTCTACAGGTTTCAAGATCGAGAAGCTCTATGGCTCTGTCTGGCAGTTTTCGCCTACTATTTTAGGCATTGAGCGAGGGATTCACTTCCATGAGCCCCACCCAAAAGGCAAGATTCCTTTCGAAGTCGCTCGACGGCACGGACGAAGATTGACACGGGCTTATGGCTGGTTCGGGGGCATGTTTGTACTCAAGGAGAAACAATAAAGGCCACTCATCATATATGTGGCCATGGCAAAGAGTGTTTATCTCAGCTGGTCCTTCCGACAGATCTGACTGAAGATTTTCATACATGGATGAGTTTTGGCTCAGTACCATTGGACCCCTTTTACAGTACTACGTTGTGGCCCCGAGCAGCAGAGGTTATATTGTGGTTTTGCTGCCTATTGTCTTGGCTTGAAGTTACGCAACGACGAATAGAACGTCAGAAACTTCCCCTTGAAGAGCGTTGTGAACCATTTATTGCTTTCATGTCATTTCTTAAATCTAGCTCAACTGGTATTGCTAGTTTATTGGTTGCCAAAAGATGCGGGGCGTTACATACGGCGGCAACTTTGTTGCATCGTCGGCTGACCGCTGCAGCCTATGGAGAGTCCGTTTCATACGTTTCATTGGTGATAAATTGATATAGTCTTCGGTTAGTTGCAGTGCACAAAATATCTTCATTGAACTGCGAATCATACGCATGGACGTACATGTTTTCTTTTTTTTTTTTTTGATTTAAAATCAACCATCAACTCAAACATCATATTTCTACTGGAGATATCTCGTATGGGCTGTTGGCAATTATTAAAACTGACTAGGCCCTAGAGGGAGGTGCTGAGGGTGGTTCTACTCACCAGGCCACTCCTTTGTTAGACACCTCTCCCATCTCAAAACAAAGCAGTGCAACAAAGCCCCAGGTAATTTACTTTGCCTCGCTCACAGTATTATCACAATGTGTCACTGCTAGTGATGGGGTAACACTTACTCACGGCTCCCCAGTTCTCAAGGCATGCTCGCCCCGAGTCTACATAGTATACGGTTCTCAATCTGACCATCCTTTTACTTCTCTCAACCTCCTCATTACCTCCAGCACTATCGTCTGTCCAGAATGAGTATTCCTATCCGCAAATCGATTTATCATGGATCTCGTCATTTACTACAATGATAGCATTGACTCAGACAACTTGGCCGCGGCTCGAGCCTTGTTCAACGTCACATGAAAGAGCTCACATTCCCGCGTTCTTTGGCCGTGACCATGAATGGCAAAGGTTGACAAGGACAGATGTAAAGATTTAATACCCCCATACTTTTCATCCCAGGAAGACCTTTCCAAAAGCCTTTTAAATGGATCTCTCAAGAAGAAAGACATTGATGATATTCCGGATAAGACGACAGTGATATGTACGCTAAGTCTCAAGCATGTGGACCTGCTGCGGGGGAAGGTTGTCCGAAGGATTGATTTAGAGGATGAGGAGGGGTCAGGTTAGAATCGTAAGGGGCGAGGCCAACCCTGCCAACTTTGAGAACTACTGGACAGAGGGCCGGCATCGATGGTGGACATCTTGACCGCACAGGATAAATGGCAAAGCTGAAACCAGAGAAATCAAGTCAAGATACTATATTGAGAACGAGCATATGAGATCCAAGGCCGATGAGACCCTGTGCAAGCCAAGATACCGAACCTCGATGACAGTTCCCTGCTCCCCAGCTGGCCTAGAATTTATCGCCCCAGAATTTATCGCCCTAGAATTTATCGCCCCACAATCTAGCACCTTGTACCCCAAATACGGACAACAATGAAATTCACCTGCTATTTTCTCTGTAATACTGATGTAATCCTTGCAACATATTGACCTGTTATTATCTGTCACCAGTAAACCCTAATGGGGAGTCCTAATTATACAGCTTGTTTCATTTTTGGCAAGTTCTTGTAGCCTGGTATGTTATAGTAGATTTCTATGGCTCCGGAGACCACTTCATGGTGGGTTTTGGCAAAGAGGAACAGCGCCCCAATATTTCATCATCGTTGGCTCTTTTTCATCAGCGCCCCTTGCCTAGCATCTTGCCCAGTATCCTCCGGCTTCTGGTTGTTATTCCTTCACTACTATGTTGATTGCGCAACTAGCCTTGGTAGACTGCTTGAGATTAGAAATGGTTTTACTAGTTAGTGGCGCCAAAGCTATCTTAAAACTTAATATTGAAGCCTCATCTGCTTTCGTAGTTGAGTTGGATCTTGGTTAGATATAATTAGCTTCGTAGTTGTAGAAGTCATTGAATCACTATAAATGTATCAGTGGCTGGGTTTGCCTATTGAAGCCTTTCGCTGTGGCCATTCCGTATGGGATGCGGAACCACCGATTGCCATCACTTTCAAGAGTCAGCTTGCATTTTTTCTGCGATAACAACGCACCATGAAGAGGCTAAGCGAAGACCATCTATAGGTCGCTCTTAAGCAGGCGCTTCGGAGAATAATGTTTAGCATGCTTTGGACTGAAGAATGGAGGGTAAAGATGGGGCACTGTAAGCATTCGTCCTGCCAAAGCGTAAGAGTTTATGTTGCCTTGTACTGCATTAATACATACCAGCCAGTTGCTCAAGCTTCATCACTAATACCCATCTTATAATAGTATCTCTTCCAAATCAAAGTATTGTACCATGGAACCACCACGCTGGCTAGCCAATTCTCTTGATCGGAATGCTTTGGGAATGGGAAGGTGCCGACCCATTGAAACAAAATCAGGAGATCATAGACCTGCCGTCTCCAACTTGAGAAATCATGGCGTTGCGAGGTTTGATGCGCTATTGGGTTCTGCAGCCAAAGTGTCATTATCTGGCTGGGCTATTTCTGTGAGGCAAGGATGCTGCAAAGCTTGCTTTGCAGTGATACGATGCTCAGGATTTACCACAAAAATTCTTTTCAACAGATCCGCAAAGTCTTTAAGGAAGGGATCGTCTCCAGGGGCGATGATTTGCTATTTTGTATTAATTAGGGCCATAGGAGGTTGAGGGAATAGTCGCTTACGTCAAGGTGCTTCATGCTCATCCGCTGGACCTTTTGGCGTGGTTTTTGCATCGCTTTGGGAAGCAAAGCGGAAAGAATGTGCCGAAACCTTTCGTCGGTGATCCAAGAGATTTCTTCCTCAAATTTGAGTCCTGTAACAGCTTCTGTCATTGCTATGTATTCAGTCATATCATCGGCGTCGAAGAGAATATCACCAGTGAAAAACTCGACGAGGGTGCATCCTATGCTCCATATATCGTGGGAGAATGACGCTTTGTGATATATCCAGGTCTCTGGGGCACAATACGGTGCAGTTGAGTCAAAATGTGATGGAGGTTCATCCATAAATGTGGCTATACCGAAATCGATCAACCGAACCTCGGTGTTATTTAAGACGCGGCGCTCTGCAGCATATCGCGCCTTTTCAGATCTTACAAAAGAGGAAGAAGGCCTCACGCGGTGATAAGGTAAGGTGCAGTAAGTGTGGTCGCATAGTACGAGATTCTCGGGCTTAATATCAGCATGGACTATGCCTAGGTCGTGCAAGACTAAACCTCATCAGAATGCTTTGTAATTAAGCCCATACTTTTACACTTACAGGCTACACTGTTAAAAAGCTGCCGGGCAAAACTCTGGATATGGCCTTTTGGATATGGAAGATAGTTGTTCTGTTCAAGGAACTCACAGGTGCTCTGACCAAGTAAGTCCATAACCATACAAATGTGGCCTCGGTATTCGAAACACTCTTGTACACGGATGCACCCCTTCTGGTTCCTCTCATCATTCATTTTAATGGTTTCGAGTATCCGAAGCTCTTTCCTCGCGGCATCACTGCGTCCCTTCCTTACGGCGCTGATCTTGATGGCAACGTCATTAGATCCGGGGACCTTACAGTCTCTGACAACTTTGCAGGCTCTGACAACTGTGCCATAGCCTCCTTCACCTAGCAAATCTAGGATTTTGTCTATAAATTAATTAGAGAAACTTCAAGAACAACAGACAAAGGTTGACGTAGACAGACATTTATTCGTTAATTTGGCATTAATAACAACCTTGTAATTTCCCTCGTCGTCGTCGTGATCTGCCTATTGAGTTGTATTAGTCACATTGTCGCCTATTTCCTAAGAATGTATGGTACAAACGCACATCAGGTATACAGGGAATAGAGACGTCGCCAGCCCTCTTGAGAGGGGGACGTAGAACTTGTTTCTTACAAAGAACCCTGGAGAGCTCTATGTCAAGATTCTGGGCCCCAGTGGGAGCATGCTGGCGCGTGAATATTGGCTCGACGATGGCCTTCATAACTTTGTGTTGGGCGTTGGACGGAATCGTACTAGGGACAGTTTCCCTAACAGCAACATGTTTCCTGGTAGAAAGCATATTCTCCTGTCCTTCTCCTGATCTCTCAATCGTTATATGTATAGGAGGCGGAGTAGTAGAAACAATTTGCCGCGATGGTATTGTGATGCTGCTTTCCGTTGTCCTCGTGGAACTTAGTGACTCGTTGGGTTTCCTACCGGTATCTTTATCCCGGAGATCCAATAACCATTTCAAATCATGCTGAAACTCTACACCTTTTTCTTTAAACTCTTGAGCTTCGTTACGAATCTTGTCTTCTTGAAACTTTGTCTGGGTAGGTGCCAAGATCAAGTCAGTCGGTAGTTGACTGCAGTTTCGTCGCCAGACTAAACCACCTAAACCTTTGATTATATTGTTTATCTCTTTTTTGCTCTCAAATTTGCCAATTAAATGAAATCTTTTGTTCGATAGTCGGCGTGAATCCATATTTTGATTTAGTAATCAATATGCTGCTAATAGTTTTATATGGTCTTCTCAGAATGCTGCTAGTTTAGGGTTCGCCATTATATATTGTCTCCTGCTATCTAATATTTGAACGTAATGATTGTATTAAGCTCACTATTTTGTTTAATACAATTGAACTCATCCTTTTATTTAGGAAAAGGTTTTTTTTTAGAGACCTTTATTTGCTAGACAATTGAGGTATTGTTACTAGAAGTAAATGAAGCTGTGATTATAAATAATTCTAGTTTTGTTAAAAGGTGCTCTTTCTGCTGAAAGGGGATATAGTGCTTATTCTCTCGACTGCCCAAACTTGATAAAGTAACTCCAAAGCTGCCCCTTAATTTGCGATAATTTGACGCCTAAATTAATCCGTGAAACTTGTACTTGTCTTTTTCTGAGACTGCTCATTGTTGTTCGAGATATGTAGATGTTTAAAGATTAATTTCTCAGAACTACCGACATTTTGTCAGCGTATATAAATGGAGTTTAGCTGTCCACGCATTAAAAAGAGGAAGGACAAGGTGCCCAACCAGAACCTAGTATACCAAATCTGAGTGTCAATGAAAAAAGATAAATATCTTCAGAACTAGAATCCCGACAATATTCGTAACGGATTCAAAAGATACATGGACCGTGAAGATTATTCTCTGTCTTTCGGAAACTGGCTGCAGACACTGTGTGCCGGTCCGGGGGAATCACTTCAAGAGGGCATCGTTTATAGCTCTCTCGAGGATGCGGAAAGGGGCTAAAACAACGTTCTGTTTGTGCTTACAGATATTCCTTGATCACGGCTGTTGGCTGTTGGTCCAGAAATTATTATGCGAAAACGGCTTATTGGCGTTGAATAATTCGCGGCCTGTTTAGCGTAGATTAAGATTGATTTCATGTCCTGCTATTTCTTCAACTCGTCGTCGGCACAGGCTATTTTCATAATAAGCCAGGCCGCTGTCTTGTCCCCTTTGACTTCGAAATAGACTTGTTTCATAATTTATCTGCCATTTTCCCGGTCAATACTTCTTTTAAAGTTGTTTTTGTCTTGAGTGACTTTATTGATCTGAGTATCCAATCACCCTACCGTGAGGATTCTGCGACTTTCCATAATCGTCTCGCAAGGTGTCACTGTGGTCGGTATCTACTGAACTATCGGTGCTTAAGTCAGTGGAGCTACCATCTGAACTAGGGCTTGATTCCGAAGCTCACTGTCAGTTACTATTATACCGCTTCCTATCACAAATCCCTTACCAACCACTTTTTTAAGCTTTCTTCCAATATGACTCATCCTCAGAGTCTTCATCCTCAGAGTCTTCATCCTCAGAGTCTTCATCCTCAGAGTCTTCATCCTCAGAGTCTTCATCCTCAGAATCTTCGTTGTAAGCCCTTTTCCAATAAGATTTCTCAGTCTCCATCAACTTCGTAATCATAAGCCTCAGGCTCATCGACGCCAGATTCATCAATGTCAGATGCATCATCATCGTCATCGCCATGCTCATAGTCATCATCTTCAGATTCATCAGTATCGTCATCTTCCGGCTCATAGTCATCATCGTCAGACTCATCATCATCGTCATCGCCCTGCTCGTAGTCATCATCCTGCCACTTGTACTTGTCATCACCACTGACATCCTTGTCGTCCACACAACCTAATTTCTCCCACAGGTAATCGCCACATGGGTCCAACCATGTACGCTTGAAGTGAAGATCCTCAATCCATTTCTTCTTAACTAGCCGACCGCCTGAATCGCGAACAGGTTCAAGAAATTTGCTAGGCTTATTATATTCTGCCTCAGATATAACAAGGATACCAATATCTTTTATGTCATGATTTTTGTGGTCAAATGGCCGAAGGCCGTTTTTACACAAGATATCTGTTGCCAACGCCTGCTTGATAACTCCGCCTTGAATGTTGAACCTGCCAACCAGTTTGAATATTGTCTTTTGGTCACCGTACATAGTGAATGGATTTGTGGGTTACCAACTATCCCATATAGCTTTTCATGTGGTCATATATACTCTCACCTTCCTCCTTTTTCCACTTGTGTGGTGCTGGCCAAGGACGGGCTACTAAGTTGCATTGTAATCCTATTCCTGGACATCCCAGATGAAGGTGTACTGACGGGTAAATGGACCGCCTATTTTAATCTCCCAATATATCTGGGTCTGTGATCACAAAGGTCAGCATAGAGACCTCCTTTATTCTAGGTACAAAGTTTCTAAGCATCAGCAAAATCTCTCACAGAAGGTGCTACAGATGCCTGAAAATATTGAGCATAGCCCTAAAGGCTTGAAATAGCCATTAAAGATTTTTTTGTCTTACGTTGAGCGAGACTGACACAGCCGTTAACTATTGAGGTTCGCCTGTGTTTTTGATCTGACCCCAAACGCCGTTATTAATGATATGCAAAAGAATAAGATGGCGTGCGAGGGGTTTATGATTAGGAGAGGACCCCGTTGTGGTTTGTAGGACAAGGCCAAAGACTGCTCCTAGACTATAGGTTGACGTGTTGGAAAGTTTACCTATATCGTTCAGATATGCACCTGCCGCGTATGTGGAAATGGACCAATATATATACCTACAGACTAGTATCGCCACCATAGAGGGCATCTAGAACATCTGGAGAAAGTGTGCCGATCAAACTACGTGTTTATATATACATTGAAGAATATAGACTTTCCTTTAGTGACTCCAACTAGCTTTACTAGGTATATTGCTGTGGACAAGGCAACTCTTTCCTCTGCAATAGAAATTCAATGTGCTAATGGAACGGTAAGTCTTGAACCGTGAGATTTCTAATAATAACTAGAGGCCTAATCTATAGCGACTAGGCTTGGTCTTGAGTCGAGCTTGCCGAGCACTGCGCCACGCATAGCCGGCGCCATAGGGAAGCTCAGTGTCACTGCCCGCTATCGAACTAACTTCGCTGGAGCCCTCACTATCTGATTCATGTATTTTGCGGCTGTCATTATCACTAATTGTGGGGATTTCTTCCAACTCAGCGTGTATTGAGGTGGTCGAGGCAAAATGAGGCGTCGGGGCACAGTGGCCACTGGATGTCTTAGCACACGTCGATGTAGTTTGATCATAAAAGACGCGATTCAATGACATAGAGCCCTGTTCGGATTCTACTCGTACCCATCTGGATTCTCTTGTGCTAACCTGTAACCGGTAAAAGTCGCGATGGGCATCGTCAAATAGGTCAGGATCCCACACGAGAAGCTTCCGACCTTTCAGCGACTCGCCTGTTCTTATGGAGTTCATAATTACAAGGAAGTCTTCTTTTGTAGTTGAGCCTCCATTTACGCCTAAATCATGCCACTCCTCGGGCGATTGCTGCCATGGTGAGCATCCAGAAGCCTCTGGAAGTTTATGAGCTTGCCTCAGGTGCTGAAACAAATACATCTTGAGACCTTTATAATGGTTAGAACGCAGCAGACCGGAGGTGGATTCGCGGATAGGATACTTCTTGTGTCATAATGGCGAGGCGGATCTCGTCGATGATACGCCCTTATCAAATTACAAACTTCCTGGCGCTTCAAGCTCAACAGGTGTTGAAGGAAGTAGAGCCAAACGCGAGCCGTTTCACTTGCAATTACGTCGATAGTTTTCCACCCACAAACAGCTTGATGCTTCTTTGCATTGTCAGCTGACAATTGATGGCCGCACGACATGCAAAATATGATTACTGGACCGTTGTGTCTCATCTGCCAGTGATCAGCAGCGGTACCCCATGTAGAGTATGTATTTATACAACATGAGCACCGATATAGTGCGCGACTTGACTTGCAGTAATGTTGCCGGCCAAGAACTTTTGCAATTTTTATGGAAGATAAGCCCTTGAGCTCCAGTCGCCTGCGTCTTTGGCAATCAGGCCTGCTCCAAAGTGCACAAGCTACCGAACCTGTCGCTTCAGAAATAGGCCGCTTCCTGTAATCAAGTAAGTCAAGGCCTTCAAGAATTTCCCGGACTTGAGGCTCGTCATAATCTGAAATACTTGCAACCAGGTCAAGAAGGATGTCCAGATCTTCCATCAAAGGTTCTACGTACAATCAGCAAAATATCGGTCATAACGGCTGCTATACACTGACCTTTGAGATTAGGCATAATTTGAATCGTCTGATGGGCCATATAGCAAGCTTTGGAATGCAGTATCTGTGTTGTCAGCGCCGGGATTGGTATTCTTCAAGTACCATTCGGGATATCAAGGTAAGGGAGCTGACGTGTCGTTGAATGCTCTAAATCATGTGACAAAGCAACGGCTTAGATCGGTGTTCTCATTGGATATCTAATGTTAGGGAAGTGACTTGTAACCTTTACTTGTAACGTCTGAAGTCTTTGGCCCGCCGCTAGTTTCATGGAGCTGCGCAGTTCGATGCTACAGGAGCCGAAAACACTTTACAGACGACTTTCTGGTTTTGATCGGAGCCTCTACAGGGTGTCTATTTGCAGCCTTGGTCCGGTTTATGAACTGCCTAATGAGATTTACGCATCAAGACGGGACTATGCTCAGCCACGTTGGGTGGATCCGTGGACCACTTTTCAAAGTGCTGTTCTTACCCCTTTTTCTTTTTTTTAGCTTTTATCAATATCCCTTCTTAACTATAGAAGTAATCCCACTGCACGTCCTTGACGCACAACCTAACTGGCACCGAACATTGGTACGAGGAGATCAACAGCAAGTCTACGTCCCTCCGTGAAACTGTTCGCTGGAGTCCATCCCTCCAAGGTAAGTACTATGTATACTTTCTTTTGTCCATCGCCTCAAGCGATAGTCTACCGTCAATAGAAGGTGCAATGGGAAGTTTCTCCACGTCAGAGCGCACTCTGATGGCTTTGGTATACGTCATGGCATCTCAACCGAATCTATCGAATCCCGAATTTATGTCAAATCTTAATGTGTCACCCGCTAGCCCAAGTTCTTAAAATAGAGAAATCCGGCTTCTTCCTTGACGATGGTTCCTGCTGTTGCGGGCCGCCGAGGTCACGGCATTTCGTCGCATCTATTCTGAGCCGGCCTTCTATTTCCACCGGTCTCCATGAGAATATACCATAAATCAACAGCTAACTCTTATGAATTAGGTTTAACGATTCTCGATATCCTTGGAGAGAAAGGTGCAATCACAAGAACTGCGGAATACTCGACATCAGGCTCCCTTATCATAAGAGAGCTTTTAAGGAGTCCCATATCTTGAACGGATTGTTCCTGCATTGACCCCCAAATAAGGTATATCATCAAAACGTTTGAACAGCTTTCATCCGCCGGTCATCTATTATATTCCAAAGATGGCATACTCTCAGCCCGACGGCTCCTACTGTGCGGAATTCGATCAGCATCAGCACAGAATTTCAGCCCAGGAAGTTGCACAAATGATGTCTCGTCAACGGCAGGAGCTGATTGGGAATGAGCTTTCACGAATAGCAGGCGATGAATACATGGAAGATATCATACAGCATTTGCGACAAATGGAGGTATGTTGCAACACTAACACTACATTTCTTGTGCTAATAAGATTTAGACAGAGACTCTACCTGATGCTTCACTGATCGATTTGCAGCCCGAGATCGATTGGGTGAAGCGGCCGTGCTTGGTAAACTTCCTCATCGAGGCCCACGCCTTCTTTGACCTTCTACCTGAGACTCTCTTCCTCACTATAAATCTCATCGATCGGTACTGCACTAAGAGAGTTGTGTC